TCTCATCAAGTTTATCAACAGACTCTAGAAGCCTCTTGAGAGACCTCAAAAGTGTGGTTCTGAACTCAATATCCTCCCTTGATAGTTTTGTCCTGTTTCTTTGTCTCCACATTTTTTTACGCTTTCTTGGTACACCCCCTAGTGGTCTTTGTGCGCAGTCTTGTTGTAGTTAAGCCTTGATTGTTATAGTTAATACTAGAGGGATTTGACCTCCAGGCCGACTGGCTGTGATAATCAGCTGTGTTTGCAGTAGAAGAACTTGTGTCCTCTAGGGAGGTGCTAATCTAGCCTTTGCCTGAGGCTATCCGGCAAATGCCTCTGTGCAGGGCTTGGGCGGGGCGGGTCCCACAGGATCAACAGGGCGGAGGAGGGAGCAGTTATGGCTGCTCTCAGTCCGTCCCCAGGGGCTCTGCCTCTCTGTCCCAGCAACCGCTGCAAACCTCGGAGGGACCGTAGCCAGACAGTCCTGCTTCTCCCGTTTGAGTCTGGGTCCCGAGAGACTCGCCCGGATCTGGAGCTCAGAGTCTGAGGTTCCCTCCGGATTGAAACAGACAACCGCGCCCTCAGCCACCAGCCCGCGCCGCGCGCACTCCGCACCTTAGTATTTTACTTCAGCACTGCGCCTCCTCTGATTCTCGGTTCCTCCTAGTTGTAGAACTTCCTCTCAGCCAGCCTTCCTGTGGTTCTGGATGATGTCCGTTCCGTCTTTTAGTTGTATTTTTGAAGTGGTTGTTCGAGGCAGCAAACTCCAGCGTTAACCTATGCCGCCATCTTGGTTTCTCCTAAACACATTTTCAAAGATTAACAACTTTTTATTTTCTCCCTCCCATTTTTTAGATTTATGTAATTTAATTATTCTAACAATCACAGTGGATAGAAACAGTTAAGAACAGACATCACTATTTTCTCTCTCTCTTAAACAAATATTTTAAATTGATTTTTAGAGAGAGAGAAAGGGAGAGGGAAAAACATCAATGTGAGAGTGAAACATCAATCAGCTGCCTCCTGCACAACCCCCTACCTGGGATTGAGCCCAAAACCTGGGCATGTGTCCTGACTGGAATTGAACCAGCAACCTTTTGATGCATGGCACGATATCCAACCAACTGAGCCATATCGGCCAGGGCTGGCACTCTGTCTTTATTTAACTGAAAGAATGTGAGGACTGGAGAGCATGTTATTTAAATATTGAATAAATGTTCTATGTTTATATAATAATTAGTTTGTATTAGTGTTAGAATAAAATTACCAGGTCTTTATCCATATTACAGCTCTATATATTATGGATAATCATGGTAGACATATCTTTGAGATACCACTTAGAATCAGGGAGTTTAATCTAGCTTGGGTCTGGGAAATGATATTTTTGGTTCTTTAGTAATGCAGAATGACATAAGACTTTTGAGAAAAGAAATTGTCATTGATAATCATTTTGTTTCTAGGATGATCTTTCATTTATCTTTTTAAAATGTAAGTATTAAGGCATACAGTGTGTGAAATTTTGTTTCTATTTGGCTTCTGACATACAGTCAAAACTTGGTTCTAGAATGTCTCTATCTCAAGCAATTCGGTTCTCGACCAAGTTGTTCATGGAAAAAATGACTTGGTTTTCGAACACAACTTTAGTTTTTGAGCGACAACCTTTTCGTGCTGGTTCCTCAGCATGACAAAAAGCATCTCTCAGACCACAAAGGAGAGAATTTTGTTGTTGTTGAAATAAATGATTAGCACAATTTTAAAACATAAAGAGGCCATCAAAAGTGCTAATTTTGCTAAGGGTACGGAGTGTTCACAAAGCAACAATCACAGGCAATTGAAGAGGTAGAAAAATTATTGTTGATTTGGATAAATGCAAAGCAGTTGGCCAGTGATAGCATTTCAGAGGCAATGATATGTGAAAAAGTGAAGGTGCTGTATACTGACCTCCTAAAAGACACCCCTGGAACAAGTGCTGAAAGTGATTCATTTAAAGCTGATAGGGGGTGGTCCACTAAATTTAAGAAAAGAAGTATTTATTAGACATGTAAGATTAAAACAGAATCATTTATGGGTCTGGAATGGATTAATTTATATTATTTCTAATGGGAAAAATTGATTCGGTTTTGGAACAAATCACTTCTTGAACAGCCTTCCAGAAAGAATTGTTTGAGAACCGAAGTTCCACTGTATGAGTCTAGTCTGTATGAAGGCAGAAGACCGGAATAGATTATATTTTTCAGATCCCAACTAGTAGAAAACTCATTGTTTATTACCCTGTGGCCTAACATTTTTTAACCTTTAAAATTTTAATTATTTCTAAAAATTTAAATAACAGTAAAAGTACAGTTTCCTATTTCAATCTCAGTAGGATATGCTTGTTCTTTGTTTCAGCAAGAGAAAACAACCACCATGGATTTAACTAAACATTTAAAAAGCACTCTGAAGACTCATGTAGGTACCAGAATGAAAAATCTAGCAGCTAAGGTTGAAAGATTGAAAGAAATTAGGTAGGTAAGAGCATATTTTTGAGAAGGATAATTTAAAATAATTGTTAATTAGTTGGTGCTCTGTATGCCCACCATTTTTGCTTTGAAATTTAACTTTGTATTTTTATAACTTTAAAGAGAGAAACTAAAAATAGTTACTCCTGATTAAACAAATTTTGTAGTGTTACATTGTTAATAGAAGGAGTTATATTGTCCTAAAGTCATCTGTGAGAGTGAAATTAAAAGTTCAACACATGGAGAACTACTACCTCCAGTTTTTTTGCTTGATGTTACTTTCAGGCCTATACTGAAGCTAAAGATTTCAGTAATCTAAATTAACTAGAGGCCTGGTGCATGAAATTTGTGCGGGGGGGGGGGCGTACCCTCAGCCCAGCCTGTACTCTCTCCAATCTGGGATCCTTGGGGGATGTCCAGGATCGGGCCTAAACCGGCATTCGGACATCCCTCTCTCAATCCTGGACCGCTGGCTCCTAATCGCTCGCCTGCCAGTCTGCCTGGTCGCCCCCAACTGCCCCCCTCTGCTGGCCTGGTTGCCCCTAACTGCCTCCCCCTCCCCGCTGCCTGGTCACCCCACGCAGCCTGCTGTTCAGTCGTTTGGTCGTCCCTCACTAACCTCCCTGCCTGCCTGGTTGCCCATGCAGCCTGCTTGTTCAGTCGTTTGGTTGTCCCTCACTAACCCCGGCTTGGTGGTAGGCAGCCATCTTGTGAGGATGTGAGGGTTATTTTGCATATTACCTCTTTATTATATAGGATTATACTCTAAGGAAAGAAAAAAGTGGTCATCATGGAGTCAAAAGAAAAGAAATGGATTAGAAAGTCTTGTACAGAGTTTATTTAGCATTTCCCAGACTTTGTGAACTGTGTAGGTATTTTATCTAATAGAGGATTGCTTTATTGCTGGTTAGGAATAATTTGTTACACTTTTCTGGAATGTGGAAAAAATAGTTCTCAAAATAACCTAGTTCCCTTTCATGCTGTGCTACACATAGAACTTAAACCAGTAATTCATTTTCTCATGTACTTTGAAACACTAAGAAGTTGCCCTGAATGAATGCTGCATGTTGGTCGTCTGTCCAGTGAAAACATTCTCCATTATAAATCCATAAATTGGCATCCTATATAATAAAAGCCTAATATGTTAAGTGTCCAGTTGTCTGGTCATCTGTTCAACCAAAGTGTAATATGCTAATGATATGCTAAGGCCACTCAACCGCTTGCTATGACATGCACTGACCACCAGGGGGCAGACAGTCAACCAGTCGACCAGTTGCTATGACGTGCACTGACCACCAGGGGGCAGATGCTACAACTGGTAGGTTAGTTTGCTGCTGGGGTCTGGCCGATCAGGACTGAGTGAGACGGGCTGGACACACCCTGGAGTACTCCCATGGTCCTTCCTTGGCTGGCCAACCTCTCGCGTCCCTCCCCAGCCCCGATCGTGCATCGGTGGGGTCCCTTGGCCTGGCCTGCACCCTCTCACAATCCAGGCGGAGGGACCCACCCCCTGAGTGCATGAATTTCGTGCACCGGGCCTCTAGTCTGGTTTATAGTTTGAGTATTTTGGTCCCTGTGGCTAATCAACCTTTGACATACCTTGAAAAATTAAGTGGCTACATTGCAAAGATGTGAAACAGACTTCAGACCAAAACAATCCAATATATTTCAATCTATATTTGAAGACATAATGTGCTACTTGAATGGTGGCAGTCTAGCTGGAAGCTAGTAAAAAGAATATGAATGGACCTTGTTAGTTTTGATAGTTGACCTCCCTTTCTGATTGCCTTTTCTTTTTACATTTCTTTTTAAAAGTCTACAAATGCTGGTCTGCTTATTTAGGGTATAAGAGCTGTGTGCCTGTAGTCTTGGTAATTTAAGTCTAAAATTTGTAAGTATATTTACAAATCTAATTGTCGACAAGAATTGAAGGTCCATTTGATATAATTTAAATTCTGCAGACTTGAAGTTGTCCTTTTATATAAAGTTTTTAAAAAATACTTAATTTTTTTTCAGTCATATATATTTTTTAATTAAAAGTTTCTACCAAAGTTATTTATGGTTTTATATAACGTTTAAAAAAGTACCTCTTTATAGCCAATTTTATAAATGGTAACTTTAGACCATAGTATTTAAGCCCAACTTTTTCTCATACCAACTTAAAAATTTTTACTATCTTTTCCTTTTTCTTTCTTTTTTTTTTTAAAAAACAAATAGACGTGTTAACATCAATGTTCGTTTGGGAAATGACCTTTCAGATGCTATACAAATGTTGGATGAAGAGTGCTTTACTACCCCAGTTTCTTTGAATGAATTAGAGATAATTTGGGCAGAATACAATCTGGCTCAGGAGAAGATTAAAACTTGTCAAAATGTGGTGGGTGAAGAATTTCTCTCTATTATGATTTTTTTGTGTGTTTAATATAAGGAGATATCTTTTGAGAAAACAGGACTACAGATACTGTAATGATACTTTGCATGAAATTTTAATTTTTACAGTATCTTTATCATTATTTGATTCCTTTTATTGCTTATAAGAAAGGTAGGGAATAGTGGTTGTAGATAAAGGGTTAACAAAATCTTTTCCACTTTTGCATGAGAATTTGATCTTTGGTTAGTTCCCTTGGTAATGTGATAACATATTTTTGTCATGTTTCTAGGCAACATTGTTTAGGAAAATAAAACCCCTGATAGGTAAATTGTATCTGGACAGGGAGGAACTATAGACTACAAGTACTTGGTGGAACACTTGCAACTGGGCATACCCCCTGAGGGACCCTGGACGCTATGCCTGTAAGAGATAGTAGTTGTTGAGGGGCAGGAGACTAAGTCAGTGTGGCTACCACACCTGCTACCAAGGATCTTGTCTTTTGGTCTGAGGTGTGTTTTATGCTTCAGTTTTGGACTCTGCCTTACTATTAAATGCTATCTAAACCACCCATTGTTGAGAGGTGGCTATTTGTGGCGAGGGGAGGGATATGAAGAATGGAATATTTCACATGAATTCTTTATTAGTATAGGTACAAGTATATTTATTTCCTCTTCCAATTTTCTTTAGTTTATTATATTGAGCTGCTGGGCAGAACTTGTTTTTTTTATATAAAGATATTTGGCACAACAGTCATTGTTTTCCTTAGTACTTGTGAGTTCTACGCATGTGTTTGGAACTGTCCACTTTTAAGTGTTGGTGGTTTCTGCCTCTGAGGAGTATTCTCTGAAAGTCTTATTCCCTATTCATACTTAGGTTGGTCAGTTGGCAACTAACTGACTCTGAATGAGCAGAGTGAAAGGATAACTAGGCCTCTGGAAATGTCAGGAATATTTAATTTGGAGAAAGGTTAGATTTGGGTTATTTTACATATTAGACCCTAACTGGTCACTTCTGATTATGGAAGGAAGAAAGTGACAGAAGTATTAATTTTTGAATCTCAGTGAAACACTGGCAATGCTATAGGTACTTTGTAAACTTTTCCTTACACTAAATTTTTTCCTCTTTTTTATTAAATTTATTGGGGTGACATTGGTTAATCAAATTATATAGGTTTCAGGTGTACAGTTGTATAATACAGTCCATCATCTGTATATTGTATGTTCACCACCCCAAGTCAAGTCTGCGTCCATTGAGGGTAGGATGGGAATAGGGGGAGAAAGTGTGTAATTAATAATAGGAACTTGAATATTTTTCCTAAGGAAAACAAAAATTGCATTGTTGCAGAAATAATGGGAAAAAAATAAAGATTAGCAGAGCAGGATTGTTGAATTTAAATGTCTTATTTTTAATTAAGAGAAAGAAAGCTCTTTGTCAGTTTGTTGATCTAGGGCGGGGTGGGAACGTCCTGCCCGAGGGCCATATGAAGCATTAGGGGTGAGTTAATAAAATGTTTGACCAAATATAGTAGGCTAATTTTTAAGTTGACTATTTTTTATGGCCATTTGATTTATAAATATCAAAATGGCTATTGGTAGAAAAAAGGTTCCCATCCCTGATCTAAGGAGAGGTGTTTGTCTTATTTGCTACTGTGTTTGGAGAATGTAATTTAAATTTTACTGTTTTGAAGAGATCAATCAAAAAAATTTTTTTTCATTAATTTCAGAGAAAGGAAGGGAAAAGGGGGGAGAGATAGAAACATCAGTGATGAGAGGGAATCATTGATCAGCTGCCCCCTTCTGGGAATCAAGCTCGCAACCCAGCCATGTGCCCTGCCCACAACCACTGGAGCCACACCAGCTGGGCTAAAGATCAATTTTTTAATATAAGTCAATGTATAAAAAAACACTGGATGTATTTATTAATGATGGTTATTCTTTTTTCTCTTCCTTCAGAATGAAGGGGATATTTTGATTGCCAGAAGAAATGAAGTGCAACAGAAACTGTGCACGGCAGTAGAAGTTTTTATTTTGGAAGTAGATGAGTTACCTCTTAATAAACGCTTGAAAACATTGCAGGTTGGAATTTAAAAGGATACATAGCATTAAATACACATTTATCGTTTGAGATGTGAAATTGGCATTTACCTGGAGACTTCAGATAGTACTAAGGGTTGCAAAAGTTTTTTCTTCTCTTTGATTCTAATTTCTTCTTAATGGAATTAAAATTTCCTATGAATGGCCCTAACCGGTTTGGCTCAGTGGATAGAGCGTCGGTCTGCAGACTGAAGGGTCCCAGGTTTGATTCTGGTCAAGGGCACATGCCGGGGTTGTAGGCTCGATCCCCAGTAGGGGGTGTGCAGGAGACAGCCAATCGGTGGTTCTCTCTCATCACTGATATTTCTCTCTCTCCCTCTCCCTTCCTCTCTAAAATCAATAAAAACATTAAAAAAATTTCATATAAATGTATTTAATATGTTTATGTATATATGTGTATCTGTTCTGCATGTGAAGAAAGTTCTCTTTTTCCCACAGGTGGTACAGTCCTCTCCCACTTGCACAGATTGTATTCACTTAGTGCTATTCTCTGTCTTCCCAAGGCTTTCTCAGAGTTTTATGATGGAAAATTCAGGCTCTATTAAGTTTTTTCGTGTCTCTGTGACATTTCTAGAGTTTGATTCCTCGAGAGAGCCAGCAGGCTCTCTTGTTTCTTCCAGTCCTTTTAAAAATGCTTTAAGTACACATACATGTTTGGTGTCTTTCCTTAATTGGAATTATTGGTATATTTTGATGTGTAGTTTATTTTTGTTAAGCAGTAGGTCTTGAAAACTTCCGTGTTAGGATAAAACAGTAGTGATTCTAATTTAAAGCCAGAGAAAAGAGGGAGCTTTCTTTTTAATAGCAAGCCTAAGATTATAAAGCTTTCTATATGTAACCATAATTCATTAGTAAACTTTCACTGTTAGAGTCCAAACAAGTCAGCTTCTAAGTAGTTGTATGCTTTCATGTCTAATTGTTTTGTTCTATTTATAAAATTCTCAAGGATAGAGAGTCCACATACTACATTTCTGTCTCTCAGGTTCTAATACAGTGCTTTAATCCTAGTAGGAAGTTAATAAACAGAAATATATCTCTGCAGGATTTGTCAACCTCTTTAGAAGCAGTATATGGACAGGCCAACGAAGGAACAAACTCTGAAGAAATACTTAAGAAATTTTATGACTGGAAGTGTGATAAAAGGGAGGAACTCACCAGTGTTAGGAGTGAAACAGAAGTTTCTCTACAATGTCTTGTAGCGTGGTTCCAGAGCACCTTAAAGGTAATAAGAGCTCTTGCCCAGTGGCACAAACCAGGGAATTTAAAAGAAAAATTTCCAAATGTAATTTACCTCTTTTCTGAGAATGAGGGGTGCGGGGAGGATGAGAATGAATATGAATGAGAATGTGTGTGCTGGGATGGAGGAGTGAGGAATTTACAATATTTGTAGTCTGTTTAGGACCTATATAAAAACAACTTCAAGCTATAGGTGTAAGATAATATCACTGGAGTTTATTACAAGTAGTGTGTATTTTGCAGCTATAGTGTGGAGATAAGGGTATGTAAAAATACATGTGATTTAGAGGATAGTACAGCTTTCCTATTTTTTTTTTTAGCAAGGTGAATTTTAACATTAGTTGGTTAACTGGTCATGCTTAAAATAATATGCTAATTCATGTTGTTTAAATCTTTTGAGTTTTAGATATCTTAAAGATCTTAAAGATAACTAAATTAAATAGAGACTCTTAGTCTTAGTTGATAAAGGGTGTCCCAAAATTCACACAAGAAGTAATTTTGAAAGAAAACACAGCTTTATAATTAAAAATTGTAAATTTTTTATTGATTCATAAAGTATACAGTATAGGGTTATGTATGGAATAGCATATTGGGTAAATGGATTATCATGTCGCAATAGAGAGCACCATTAACTGTTACTGCCTGAGCAGCCGCGTTTTCGAAGAAGAATGGTCCGATGATGCCTCCAGCCCAAAATCCGCACCAAACAGTGACACGTTGTGGATGCATTTGTTTCTCAACAGTCACTCGTGGATTTTCTGAACCCCAAATGCGACAATTTTGTCGATTAACCAAGCCATCCACAACATGTCACTGTTTGGTGCGGATTTTGGGCTGGAGGCATCATCGGACCATTCTTCTTCGAAAATGCTGCTGCTTAGACAATAACAGTTAATGGTGCTCACTATCGCGACATGATAATCCATTTACCCGATATGCTATTCCATACATAACCCTATACTGTATACTTTATGAATCAATAAAAAATTTACAATTTTTAATCATAAACCTGTGTTTTCTATCAAAATTGCTTCTTGCGTGAATTTTGGGACACCCTTTATTAGATATTAGAGAAGATGTTTGGTGTATCATTCTTTTTAGTTCTTGTTTACTATTATAAAAACAGCATGTAATTTTCCAAAAGGTGTGGGGACATGTGGTTCTATATTATATACTCAGAATGTTAATTAAATTTTAGCCTAATTTTGTTATTGATTCTCTGTTCTTCTGTTTGCTTTACAACTTCCTTAGCAAGGGCAATCTGTGTGAATGACTTCCAAATATGAATTTCTTTGTTTTGGAAAAACACAAGTTAATCTCCAGCTACTTCCATAACTGTTTTTTTGTTTTGTTTGTACTTTCTTTTTTTCCATTTGGCTCTTGCCAGATGATTTTTTTTTTAACTTCTTTATTGTTGAAAGTCTTACATATGTCTCCTTCTCCCCCCCCCCCACCATTGACATCTCCCCAGCTGTTCCCACCCCCCAGCACATGCCCTCACCCCCTACTGTCTGTGTGCATGCATAAAAGTGCTTTGGCTGATCTCTTACCCCCCACCCCCTCGCCTTCCCTCTGAGGTTTGATGGTCTGTTTGATGCTTCTATGTCTCTGGATCTATTTTTGTTCATCAGTTTATGTTGTTCATAATATTCCACAAATGAGTGAGATCATGTGATACTTAATCTTTCTCCAACTGGCTTATTTCACTTAGCATAATGCTCTCCAGGTCCATCCATGCTGTTGCAAATGATAAGAGTTCCTTCTTTTTTACAGCAGCATAGTATTCCATTATGTAGATGTACCACAGGTTTTTAATCTATTCATCTGCTGGTGGGCACTTAGGATGTTTCCTTTTTGGTATTTTCTTATGGATAATTAATATAAGTAAATTATTGCTTTATTCTCTTTTGTTATTGATCACAATTATCTTTCTGTTTAGGTTTATTATTTGTTATCTTTTTCTTTCATTTCCATAGTCTGATTATTTGAAACCAAAGTCACCATTTGTGATCTTTAGTTCTATATTATAATTTAGGCCCCTGATTTTATTCTATTTAATATTTTACTATTAAGTTTATTTCCTGATAGAAAATACCTTTGTTTTTCTAATGAATGGGACCATTTGAGTTTAGTCTGTAACTTTTAGTTTCCAGATTCCTAAATACTAGTAAGTCATTACCAGTTATAATCATATTCCTTCCTTGTTCAAGACCTAACATTGCCTGCCTAATACTTTCAGATTTAATGTTGCCACCTGCACATTCAAGGTTTCTTTAACCAGTTTTAGTAAGACTAACTCTTACTATTCCCCAAACATCTCGGTCTTGTCTGCCCCCCCCCCCCCATACTTTTCCTCTGTATTCTCTTACCTCTGTTAACCACTAACTATAAAAAATCTGTTGTTGTTTTTTTTTAGGGGTGTGAAGCATCTGAACGCCCCCCCCCCCCCCATGCTTAAGTTATATGAGGGTAGTACTTTCTTTATGTGTATCCTTATTTCCCCCACATTGCTCAGTAACTAGGCCAGCGGTTCGAGACCCCTTTAGCGGTTGAACGACCCTTTCACAGGGGTCGCCCAAGACCATCCTGCATATCAGATATTTACATTACGATTCATAACAGTAGCAACATTACAGTTATGAAGTAGCAACGAAAATAATTTTATGGTTGGGTCACAACATGAGGAACTGTATTTAAAGGGCCAGAAGGTTGAGAACCACTGGATTAGGCTAATGCTCTGCTCCAGTTATAAGGATACAATACTTATTGAAATAATTAAATGAGATATTTCATGCTTTTATTTTTTATAAATGAGGCTTTTGATCTATCGGTGGAAGAATCACTGACTTCTGAAGACACAATTGATAATATTGATGAAATCCTAGAGAAGGCTGAGTCAAGTGTCTGCAAAGAGCTGGAGATATCTCTGATTGTGAGTATTGATATTTATTATTGCTTCCTTTGAAGCAATATGGTTTATTTCTCTTGCTGGTTAGAAAGTATCAAGACTGGTCTTTGCTCTTATAGGCTTGATTGAAAGAGTAACACTGTCAAGTTCTAATCCAAATACAAAGCAAAATCTCATTCTTCCCCAGGCATGGTATTTTCATTTTTAATAGGACATTTAACATTAAAAATAAATAAAATGTAATGTTTAATTCTAGGAAATCTAAGTGTGACCACTTTCTGAAGCATTTGATTCTTTAGTCCATCATACTCAATGACTGAAATAAAAGACTCCTAGAATTTGTGAAAACTTGAAATAAATCTGTGAGAGCTTTGGAAGCAGATACACACGGTTGATTAATAGCTCCATTTCTCTATTGTGTATATTCTCTGTTGCTATATCAAGTTAAAAATTAGTGTAACTCCTCAAAAGAATATTTTTTAATGTTAATATTGTTCACTAGGATTCTTTCCCAGTTTTTCAGCTGTTTACCAAAGTCTCAGTAGTAATGTTCTTCATTTTACTTATTTCTTTTTACCGTTTGTGATTTTATTTAGATTAGTATTAAAATATATACTTAACTGTATTCTCTTTTGTCAGATAGTCCTCATTTAGATGGTTTTGTTAGACTTGACTTTAGAAATGGTTGTTAATAGATGATTTCTAAAAATAGCTTTGTGTTGAAGTTCTATATATTGTGTAGTTCGTACATTTAGCATTGTAGTATCCCTGATTTCCTTTAATGTTCCTCTACTCCAGACAGCTGTAAGAATAAATGTGTAATGGGAGTAAAATTCCCATATATACATCTTTGACATCATTCTTTATTCTGTCTAGAAAAAGATTTGTGTGTAAGAAGTATTTTGAAATGGATTAGAAATTTGTTAAAGGCATCATTTTGAAGTTTTCCATTGTTATTGAAAGTTTTAATGTTTTGGATACTCTTTTGTCTATAATTCCATGTGTGTGATTTCATTTAGGAGCAAGGTGATGCAGACAAGGAGATCATTTTAAGTACATATTAGTCAGTACTACAGAGATCCATTCAGA